AATCAATTCTAAAATTACTGTTGATTTATAATTATTCTATACATGGAACAAGATTATCGACATAGGAGCCATGAAAAGATAGGAAGAAAAAGCAATAAGATATTGAAGAGATGCTTCCAAGAAGCAGAAAAAAATATTCCTATTCGCAAATCAATATAATTTGAGAACTTCAAAAAGGTTATAAATTTGATATTATTATAACCATCACTAAAGTTTTCAATAAATAGTAATAAAGTTGCTCACCTGAAACAGGGCGACAAATGAACAGACATGTTACGATGCCTCTTCTCGAACCGATTGTATTTCCTGATGTAATGCAGGTAATCACGACGAATAACGATGGTACGCTGCATCTTCAGTTTTTGGACGACTCCGGTTAGGATGCGACCACGGATCGAAACGTTTCCAGTGAAGGGACATTTCTTGTCAATGTAATGTCCTTCGATGGCCTAAATAAAGAAATAACCTAGTAAGTTCACTGCAGGAACAACTAAATCTATAGGTTATATTTCATTAGGATTGAAAATTTTTCATTTCAACAGCAACATCCGGCATTTCAAAGATTTTGACTAACTTTTGCCTTCAGTATATCTTGGACAAAAACAATACATAAAAGACAACCGAGGAATGAGAATGATGTTGGTTCCTTTATTACTTATAAATACCCAAATTCATCATAACAATAATCAATTTCATGTATCTAGAATGTTTAATACAAATACATGGGATTTAGGACTTGCATTAAAATATACACTGCGAAAATTAGTACAAGGACCATCTACGGGTACAAACGTTATCTACATGTTATCAGCTTGATATATTTTTGGAATGTAAAAGAATCAAACTCCCCATGTTATTATTTAAAAGTCACAGCTGTGTTATACTATACCTTCTAAGCCACCACACCATCGACAGAAAATTTCAAAATGACAAATTTATGATTTTCCACACGAAGAGTTCAAAATTAAAACTGCATTAATTAAACAACTATATTGATTATATTATTATATTGGGGACATCATGGAAATTTGTCAATAAACTGAAATTCTCTAGATTCAACATTGAACGTACATGCATACATACATTAAAAGCACAAGTACATGTTACAACAAAACATATTTCACGGAACTAGTAAATTTTCGTATTGAGAGCAACGCTGGTTTTTGAAATAAAATTAATTAGACTTAGCTATGATAATGAACAATTTTCAAATTTGAACACGTTCAAGACTCGTTCCACTCCATAGTAGCTTCTTCAATTGAAGTGGTATATTAAACAATGTAACAATTAATTTTCATAAACATACCTCCCGCAAAACTTAATAACTGTTATCATTTCAATTTTACAAGGGATCATGAATTCTTAATTAAATTACTCATCGAAAAGGAGNTGTCAATTTTCACTAGTTTAGAATCCATTGGTAGTTTTCTGGTTAGTTTTTGGATCAACAGTTAGTAATTTTGATATGTTACAAAAGTTAAATAGTTTGTAGAAATCAGACAAAAGTTATAAATTTTTTTTCAAAAACCAGCGAAAGCCTTCAGAATGAAAATTCACCATAAATGATATTTCCTTCAAGAGGAAACTGATTTTAGGTAGCAAACCCTTACAAGAAAAGTTAGACTACTTCTACCGCTCTAGTCCATATTGATGAAAATCAACTTTTCTTGCCCCTCTGCAACATTTTGGAAAAAATAACTTTGGGAAATAAAAAACCACAAGGGTGGATTCATGCACCTGCCTCAAGTTGTGAGTCATAAGTTTTGAATTGTGACAAAAATCATGTTTTCGTACACTTACATGAGTATATACAATATCTGTACTTGAGTATGAATGTTGTCACAGAAAATTGATAACCTAACTGCTTACGACTTCCTTCTTGCAAGAATCCACCCTTTGATAAAAGCTTGTTTTCATCAATATCGACACAAAGCCTCCCTGTTTTCAAGCTTCCGCACCAAAACCGGGATCCCATTCCGCCAGGCCCTGAAAAGTTCAAGAAAAAGTGTACAAACCTCCCTGGGCGTTTTGAAACCCAGTCCAACATTTCTGTGCAGCCTGGCAACCTTCTTAGTCTTGGGACCGACTTTGCGGTTCGCGAAAACGGTTGGTTGTTTTTGGAAAGCCCTCTCTGTCTACACACAAAAAAGAAAAATATTAGAAAATAGTACCTCACGAGGCGTTTTGAATCCAAGTCCGACTTCACGATGATATCGCAAAGATTTACGTCTCTTGGGGCCCACGCCTTTTTTACGGTTTAAGAAAATCGTAGGCTGACGTTGGAATGATCTTTCATTCTGGAACAGTCAGGAATAAAGATAATATACTCTAGTAACTGAGAATCAAAAAACTTGTCTACAAAGTTATTATTGGAATTCAGAGAAAAACATGAAAATAACATATTTGAAGGATATACAAATGATGCCAATTCAGAATCGGTCATTGTAACAATAAATGTTTATTTTTCTGGAGTCAGTGTTTTGATTTCTTAAGCATACTCGTATATCATTGAACATATCTACGCCATTATAAAAAACATTAATCAAGACTTTCATTGCTCAAGCTAGTGCAGTAATGAGTGTTCCTGAGCCTCAATAGATACATGATTACTCGAAAGAAAATCTAGAGACTTTAGAAATCTACCAGCCAAAGTCAAGTGAATTCATCTTATGCATACATTTGATATCTTATTTGGAATTTGAGGACAGACTCCAGTAAAATAGAATATTGTAAAAGGCTAAGAATATAGGTTAGGTACCACGTGAAAACAAATTCACCACTTTGTAAGTAATGACGAAAAATCTAATAATTAAAAACGTACCCTGGAAAGACTTGTTATATATTGACAAAGATATAAAAGGTTATTACAACTTAACTGATAGTTAATTTTAAGAAAATTTAAGAAAACTTACTTGGTCTGCCATTTTGACACTTGAAAGAAGGGAAAAAAGAACTATGCTTATTTATTGAATTAATGCAGGAGGCGCTAGTTACTTCCTTTTCCCATTTATCGTTCCGCAACACAGATACACATCCAACTGTCAGCGGTCAGCACTGAATGGAACAATGGCAATAGAAGAATTTCGTCAATATCGCCAACCTAGTAAAAAAGCGGAAACTTAAATAAGATATCTGAAGAAATGCACTTTAAACGGCAATTAAATTATATAATTGCATTCTCATTCAGTATCAAATTCAACATTAGGATCATGATATCAATTGCGATTTACCTCTAACCTTGATTTGAAAAATTATTAGCGTATAAGAAATATTTAATTTTTCTGGGGTTATGTTGGCCGATTCTACATAAAAATTATGTGAGCTATGATTTTAAATTGTTACATTTTGATATGGCTGTTGAATGCATACATTACGTATTTATGTAAAAAAAAATGAGCTTTTCACTTTCGCCACCATGGCGCTGACATCTAATTTTGAATCCTCGGTAAGCAATATTCTGTGAATTTTCCAGATAGTTAAATCAGGTGTTTCTTTGTGAATTCAACAAATATTCTTTTGACTTCAACTGATATGAATTTATTTTGTTGACCGCTCGTTAGACTAATTATGGTTGAACAACTCCATTTCAGATTCAATTTCAACTATTTTTGTGCAACTTGCTGTCAATCTGATGAATTCTTGTTATTCGTGAGTCCACGATTTGTGCAGTCAAAACCTACACCTCTTGCAGGAAGGCTGGATTCAACTCTACAGTACACATACTGAATATTCTCTCTTGTTATTTTTTCACTCTCCTACTAACTATATTTAATCACTATGTGTTCTTCATTGTGAACAGAATACAAAACAATTCCTGAGTTGTGATTTTTTATTTTTGAAATTAAATGACAGCTGACAGTAGACAAATGATTTGCTTGAAAATGCGCCATTCAAGCATATATAAACACTCAGCAATGCAATGCTTATTTTGTGATTTGAGATTCATAACAAAATGCCAATATTTGGATGAGCATGAGCGAGTCTTCATGGGTTTTTATATATAAACAGAAGAAAGATGCTCAGAAACCTTGCTATTAAAACCGATTCGCGAGAAATGAGTTCCACCTAACTTTGCATACATGTTGATAGATGAAAAAAAAGAATCGTTTTCAAATGTTAACATGAGAGTGCGCCTCAAGATTGTCGTAGATCGAAATGTTCCTTGAAATACTTCACATAGGGGGGGGTACAAGTTTCATTTCATTTCATTATTATTACACCATGGCATTTCTATGAATCTTGACCAGAATTCCCAGGAATATTATAGTACATAGAATAAGACATGGCCGGTAGGAGATTGGCACGACATCAAACTGTGGGTGTTTTTATGCAGTTCCCTTCGAAACTTCATCAGTACCTCAATACGTTTTGATATAGTCATCACTTGAGCGCAATTAATGAGCAATAAAATGCAATCTATGATGCGAATTTTGTGCGCAATTAGGTGGTAATACTTACGACTGGTCATGGTTTATTATATGTACTACACATATTCTTTATACTATTTTAATTTTAATTATGACTCTAGGGATCGATATAACAAACGCAGATTCCAAAATATTACTGTATAAGAATGAAAATTATCCAATTTGATTTTCCAAGTGTGCAAACTAAAATCTTGGGTTGGCACCAATGAGAGAAATTTGATTTCAAGATTCGAGGTTACAGTTAACTCAAAATATCTCAAAAAATGAAAATGATGCGAAAATTCATAGGTACTGCAGAAATGCATTAGACGGCTTCTTCTAATTGACGAATATGTTCCAGATATTGGAGCAAACCTCACTGATGCGATGTATTCTGGGATATACAATGGCACCAAAAAACATGAACCAGATCTACAGCAAGTTCTACAAAGAAGTTGGGATGCTGGCTTGAGCAAAATCGTTATAACAGGAGGAAATCTGGAGGAGAGCAGAAAAGCTCTCGAAATTTGTCGAAGTGACGGTACTGTATTTTGGGTATTTGGAGTTTCAGAGTTATTCGGATCTTCACAATCCTTGTTCTAGATAGATTGTATGCCACTGTTGGCTGTCATCCTACAAGGTGTGGAGAGTTTGAACAAAACGGGCAGGATCCTAATAATTATTTAGAGAAACTTGTGTTAGAATAAAAAAAAGTTATGTTAACACAAGAACATTTGATTCTGGGAGAAAAAAGTCCTTATGATTTAGAATTCTGTAAAGAAATCAGTCATTACTAATATTCCAGTGTATTTTTGAACAAAATTAAACCCTCCCGCAAATTTTCCAGTTCCCTAAAAACTGAAGAAAACCTCAAAACCGTACAAAGTTTACCTTCAGATAAAATTCTTTTGGAAACGGACTGTCCTTGGTGTGAAGTAAGACCATCGCACGCTGGCTACAAACTCATTTCGAAAGAAAACCAGGCTGTGCCCAGCGTCAAGAAAGAAAAATGGTCTCCCCACCATATGGTCAAGAGTAGGAACGAACCCAATAATATCAGGTGAGGGTGAGAAACTTGAAGGAATGGAAATATATTGAATATAATCTACAGTCTCAGTAAGACATCTCATGGAGCTAACAAATAATATTAATTCAATAATTTTTTTTTGGAAAGTGTAAAGGTCTATTGCCTGGCAAGTAATTTTCTTTTAGGATAAGATTTACTTGAGATAAATATTTTGAATACAGCGTCGAATCTATTTTCCTGGTTTTTTAGCCATAGTCCGCAGGTTTTCATGCCTGCCTTGTAGTTGAGGGTCGGTCTACATTGGAACCACAAAAAGAAGTGTGGTTACCCATCTCTCTGAACTTCAGAGAAATTGCCGCCAAAGATAAATCAGCTGTTGCCGAACATGCTGTAGACAACAAAGAAGGCACTCACATCACATTCAAAGACATGGTAATACTCGAAATTACTGACCAAGACTTTATAGAGCAGCAATAGACATTCAGAAACACAGGGATAATTTCAATATAAAGGAAGAGGCAATTAACATTAATAAAATCTGGCTGCCTGACCTTGGTTGTATACAAACAAGGTCAGGTGATTCAATCAAGAGAAACCAAGCCACGTCCATCAATAACGATATGAAACCGGAGTAGTTTCTGTGATGTTAACCACTCAAGCACTTCAACCGTTACCTAACTGTCTTTGATAATGTCTACCACAGTAGTAGACGAAACATCAGACATGAAACCTACAAACCATGGCCAAAAAAACTAAAAAATAGCTTTGACACAGTTATTTCCGGCTGTGTAAGTATATATTCTTCTATATACCAGTTTTTGACGATAGTCATCATTTAATAACTGAATTTTAGGACAAACTTGAGACATTCATTTTTCATTTCAGGCAAGTTTTCGACATTGTATCGACAGTTAAACAAGTAAGCGCCGACGAGTTTTGCGAAAAGATCTACCAAAACACTTTGGACTTGTTCCTGTTCGACAATAAAAGTAATCTCTCGTAATAACAAAATATATTAACAAATTCAAAATACACGTTTTGATCTTACAAACTAACGTATAAAAAGTGGAATAAAATTCATCATCATACCAATTTCTGCGTACGTTCAATGTCAATTACTACCACCCTCCACAAACTGACCTTAACGCAATTTCGATATTGTATTATTTCAATTAAACGTAAAAAAAGTATAAAAAGTTATAGTCTTCACAAAAATACTCAAAGTTAACACCCAAAAAAAAGAAGGATCAACTTGCCTAAACAAAACGTACCCACGTTCGAGAAGTTTTGATAACATCTTCAAATACTCTTGCGAAAAGACCAAAATTTAGTAGTTTTTAATCAACTCTACTGACCAGACGACTTTTTCAAGTATCCATACGAGAAATTCAGCCTTACAGTTTGGAGCTCCTTTTTCAAATACCAACAATGAAGTCGCGAACCAACAAAACAAAACCAGAAAAATTTCGCTTCTCTACAAATTCTTTCATCAAAACCAAAAATTACGTTTCAGTTGGTTCGAAGGTAACGCTAACATCCCCGGACTACTATTCAATAATAAAATTGACTGGGCTATCCTCCAGAGCTCCTTTTACTTGTTGAAAATAACCGTAAAATTCATAGATTCTAATGAAAACAATTAAATGCAATGGTAAAAAGTGAGAATAAATCGGTCTAGGAATTAAACGGTTAAAAATCGAGCAACAGCTAAATTCATCTGATGCTCGTCTGAACTTTTTCATAGATCCAGTGATAATATTCAGCCGCTTTCTGTTGGGTTGTATTCAAGGCATCCACTACCACTTTCTGAACGTTTTCAGGAGAAAGTTGTCCGCTGAAAAAAGAAAACAAAAAAATATGAAGTACATCACCTACCAGAATGTATATTATAATGCATTATTATCAAACGGGACAAAATAGTCTGTATTAACGGAGTGAAGACAGGTATGCATCTGTTGCTGTCCAAATAATTTTTTAAGGTTTATGTTGCCTGAAAGTTTCACTGACATTTATGTTCATGTTTACCACAAAAAAAATTGAAATAATTCACCACTGAGTGTTTAGAAAAAAGCAAGCCATGATTAGAAGGTAGTATAGTCAGCTTGGCACCGTTTGGAACTCAACAGTTTGGCTCCGTTTGGAACTCAACAGTTTGGCACCGTTTGGAACCAGACAGTTGATTCTCAATATATTTAGTAGCTGTGGCACCATTTGGATTTCAACAGTTTGGAACCAGACAGCTTGGCACCATTTGGAACCAGACAGTTTGGCTCCATTTGGAACCCAACAGATTGACAACGTTTGGAACCAGACAGTTGATTCTAAATATATTCAGAAATTGTGGCACCATTTGGATTTCAACAGTTTGGAACCAGACAGCTTGGCACCGTTTGGAATTCAATAGTTTGGCTCCGTTTGGAACTCAACAGTTTGGTACCGTTTGGAACCAGACAGTTGATTCTCAATATATTTAGTAGCTGTGGCACCATTTGAAACCAGATAGCTTTTCACCATTTGGAACCAGACAGTTTGGCTCCATTTGGAACCCAACAGACTGACAACGTTTGGAACCAGACAGTTGATTCTCAATATATTCAGAAATTCTGGCACCATTTGGAATCCAACAGTTTGGAACCAGACAGCTTGGCACCATTTGAAACTCAACAGTTTGGCACCGTTTGAAACCAGACAGTTGATTCTCAATATATTCAGAATCTGTGGCACCACTTGGAACCAGACAATTTGGCACCTTATGGAAATTGTTCAAAGTATAAAAAAATTCATGTGCACATTACGTTGGACTTGTAATATTAGTCCTATTTGCAAAATGTTCCAGTTTGCTATTGAAGTTTATTCAGGCAAGTGAAATTTTCTGTAGATATGGTTAGAAAGCCAATCTGAAATTATTAAATGTTAATTCGTACTTACACAAAAACCTCTTTTCTGAGAAAATCAATACTTCTATTGAAGTAGTGAATAGAATACGAATAAACATTGCTCATAGCATTCTGCGACTGCTCTATTAGACCCGGAACTTGGGCTTCAATCTGAAAAAAAAAACAAAGTATCAATATATAAAATACGAACAGAGAGAAATGTAAGTAATAATCAGACATCAATTCAATGGTAATCAGGATAAGTTGACTCACCGACTGAAGCACAATGGGGTACTGTTCCACGACAGCATCCTTCAAGTTTAAGGCCCCGTTACGGGCCAGTTTCCCAAGATTGACGAGCAACTCAATGTACTGCTCTGAGACAGATCTCACGACGTGGTGGTACTCAGGGAAAGCCTCTTCAAATCTACCGTCCACCCAGCCGAAACCCTCTTTTGTCTTGTTCACGGCAAGGCACGCAAATTCACAAACACGATACTCCTTCAGAGTACTGCGAGTCATGCTGTCTGCAATTTAACGTATCGTTATGATGAAATTTCAGTATAGTTCACATAAAATTTTTTGTTACATATGTTTTCAACAGACCTCAAAATGCAGCGGCAAATATCATTGATAATTATGATATTAACCAATATTATGCTAGACATAATCTTGACTTACATATACTGCAAATTCTTACCTTTCCAAGTGCCGTGTTGTTTGATATCGAAGTAAACCAGGCCTCCTATCGCCAAAGAAATTATCAGTATTACCGTTTTCAGTGGGAAACTGGACTTCTTTTTGGCAGTCATCTTGTCGTTGATTTTCTAGAAAATAAATTACACATAACTTCGTTGCAGTTTCAATAAACCAGACAAAAAATGCTAAGAAAAGATTCTAATGAAATACCAACAAATTAATATATGAACTTTGAACCTAACAAATGTCCAGGTCTTTAAATCATGCTTGAAGTNGGATTTTTTTGGTTGCGTTTCGCTGGTGCAAGTGGGTAGCATCTTCAAAGGTCTGTGTAATCGCCAAGGTTATAGGTACCTCCGTCAGGAAGAAATTTCAATAGACGACGGCGTAAAAAGCCGAAACGTTTCTCTAATTTAAAGATGAAACTATCAACGATTATATGTTATGACCAAAAGTTCATTTCATAAACTAGCTGTTGAAGATGGGATTCCACACCAATCATATAAAATGTATTGTTTCGTCATGTGGCTTGAATTGATTAGGTTTTAGCTGTCTCTCCATCGAGTTTGTGCATCTATGCATATACTTTTTCATGTTGTCATCTGTTATATCGACAGGTACCCTTGTAATACCTTGTTCCTTTATTTCCAGTGACAGTTGATACTTTGGTGATTTTTTTGTTAGCAGCAGATGTTTTGAGTATTTTTTGTCTGTAAGTTGGATTTACTTTCACTAAATTATCGTACCATGACTTGAATTTTGTACTGCCAAAGATTAATAATTCCACCCAAAGTATGAACCAGGCTTTGATAAGAGCATATTCCAAGTGAAAATGAATATTCACTTTCAATTTTCATAGAACATCAATTTTGGAACAAAAGGACGCTGTATGATATTCTGACACCCCCAAAATTGATTTAGTTTAGCTCTAATTTGTTGTTGTACAATTTTATACTCTAATCAACTGTAATTAGTGAAGGATTAATAAATAGCTAGTTTCAGCATCGTAATGATCAGTAACTAATTTACTATTGGCCACTTACCTGAATAGCAACAATGCTGGCTTTGAGTCCGTCTTCTTTCCGTTTTTTCAGGTTGAGGTCATCGTTTGCTGACTTGAAACTGTCCAAAACGCTCTTGAGAGCGTTCCTGTTCAATTTCTTCGAAACAGTGTCCCAATCATTAACTAAAATCGGCGAGAAATCATTCAAACCGTTCGTTACCTCAACAACCATCACTTACATATGTATTCCAGAAGAACCGCGCTGGCCACCACAGTTTTGCCGTAAACCTTCCCCCAGCTAGCTAGCGTCGTCTGATCCTTTTGGAAGATATCGATCAACAAATCGCACAGACAGTTCCTGTACGGCTCACTACTGTTGGCGACTATCCTTTTGAGGACCACCTCGACGTAGTTGTTGTACTTTTCTTTAGTATTGCTGAAGAGGAAACGTTTCAGTTTCGGAACCTCGCCCGATAGTTTCTGAAGGAGATCCACGGGGAGGGTCTTTTTGGTCGAATAGATTGTATCGACGAGCAGGAGGAAGTCTTCTTTTGTCACGGTTACGTCTTTATTGTTGGTGACGAGGTCGAGGAGGTAGGTCAAGACGAAGCGGGAGTAGCTCTTCATTTCGATGAGTGGCAGGAAGAGATCTTTGAAAACTGGAAAGGATCAAGGGTCGTTATCACTCGCACTAGTAGACAATATTGATAGGGAGGGGCGATTAAAACGTTGGTNAAGAATTTCGTCAATATCGCCAACCTAGTAAAAAAGCGGAAACTTAAATAAGATATCTGAAGAAATGCACTTTAAACGGCAATTAAATTATATAATTGCATTCTCATTCAGTATCAAATTCAACATTAGGATCATATCAATTGCGATTTACCTCTAACCTTGATTTGAAAAATTATTGACGTATAAGAAATATTTAATTTTTCTGGGGTTATGTTGGCCGATTCTACATAAAAATTATGTGAGCTATGATTTGAAATTGTTACATTTCGATATGGCTGTTGAATGTATTCATTAAATTATTTTCTATGCTTAGAAATTACGTATTTATGTAAAAAAATGAGCTTTTCACTTTCGCCACTATGGCGCTGGCATCTAATTTTGAATCCTCAGTATGCAATATTCTGTGAATTTTCCAGATAGTTAAATCAGTTGTTTCTTTATGAACTCAACAAATATTCTTTTGACTTCGACTGATATAAATTTATTTTGTTTACCGCTCGTTAGACCTAATTATAGTTGAGCAACTCCATTTCAAGTTCAATTTCAACTATTTTTGTGCAACTTGCTCTCAATCGGATGAATTGTTGTTATTCGTGAGTCCACGATTTGTGCAGTCAAAACCTACACCTCTTGCAGGAAGGCTGGATTCAACTCTACAGTACACATACTGAATATTCTCTCTTGTTATTTTTTCACTCTCCTACTAACTATATTTAATCACTATGTGTTCTTTGTGAACAGAATACAAAACAATTCCTGAGTTGTGATTTTTTATTTTTGAAATTAAATGACAGCTGACAGTAGACAAATGATTTGCTTGAAAATGCGCCATTCAAGCATATATAAACACTCAGCAATGCAATGCTTATTTTGTGATTTGAGATTCATAACAAAATGCCAATATTTGGATGAGCATGAGCGAGTCTTCATGGGTTTTTATATATAAACAGAAGAAAGATGCTCAGAAACCTTGCTATTAAAACCGATTCGCGAGAAATGAGATCCACCTAAGTTTGCATACATGTTGATAGATGAAAAAAAGAATCGTTTCCGAATGTTAACATGAGTGTGCGCCTCAAGATTGTCGTAGATCGAAATGTTCCTTGAAATACTTCACATAGGGAGGGGTACAAGTTTCATTTCATTTCATTATTATTACACCATGGCATTTCTATGAATCTTGACCAGAATTCCCAGGAATATTATAATACATAGAATAAGACATGGCCGGTAGGAGATTGGCACGCCGTGCAAACTATGGGTGTTTTTATGTAGTTCCCTCCGAAACTTCATCAGTACCTCAATACTTTCTGATATAGTCATCACTTGAGTGCAATTAATGGGCAATAAAATGCAATCTATAATGCGAATTTTGTGCGCAATTAGATGGTAATACTTATGACTGGTCATGGTTTATTATATGTAGTACACATATTCTTTATACTATTTTAATTTGAAAATTATGACTCTAGGGATCGATATAACAAACGCAGATTCCAAAATATTACTGTATAAGNGAACTTATTTTTATTTGTGTAAACGTATACACACATTTCTAAAATTAAAATACTCGTCATTGTTAAAATTTTTGATGCTTTGAAAATCGGTCTACAGGATGCTCTGCTTGAGGTATCGCAAATAATTTTTAAAATGCGTTTTTGTACAGTAAATAGGTCTGGTGCTCGAGTGGACACACCCCAGAAACATGCCATATCGTAATCGGGAGTCTATAGTAATTCCAAGAAATTTAACGTATAACGTAGGCTCAATCAAGATTTTATCAGTTTTTATTGTTACAGCTTCACATTGTTTTTGGTAGTTGTGTAATCGTAGTAAATTTGTCTTATTACTATTGAAATAGAGACACTTCTGATCACACCATGAAATGAGGTTACCAACTGCAGTTGCACACTTTTGTTTCAAGGTATTTTCACATTTGTCAGAGACAAATATATTGGTGGCATATGCATATCTAATAAAGCCGGCAGAAGATTCGATATTATCCATGTCATTCGTGTAGAATAAAAATAAAATTGGCCCCAAAACAGAGCCTTGGGGAACGCCCATTGAGATATTTTGATATGCAGATTTAGTGAATATATACTAACAAATTGTTTTCTGTGTGTTAAGAAACTCCACGAATACCATATTTGTATAATTTAGACAAGAGTACCTCGTGATTCGGATAACCACGTAAAGGGGCCTTGTATGTGAAGTCAAAAATTCGAAGGTCTCCCGGCGACCCATAAATATATATATGTTAAAAAATCAAAAGGTCTCCTGAGCAGGAGACGATAATAAAAAAGGATTGTGTTTTTATTATAAAAAGTGTTAAAGAAATGTGTCAGCATTGCTTCGAGCAAGATCGCTGCCCCCTCCCCCCCGACGAAGCTTCTGTCAAATTGATAGGAGCCTGGACAAATGCGCCCGAGTAGGAAGCAACGTCCGTTAACTTAGAGAGGAGAGATTTTTGCTTCGACTTGATGCTGCAACCACAACAGACTGCAAAGTACCAACGCCTCAGCAACTTACATCAGACGTGACGTGTTGGGGGGTCATTTTTATTATTTTTGAATCGTTTTTTTTTTATTTCAAGTTTGTTATTTAATATTTCAAATAAGTACATAAGTCAAAATTCAAGTGTTTAAACTCAAAAGTACAATTTCAAACTAAAAATTTCGACGTTAATCCCGACATTATGACTTTAGGCTCGACATTTCTACTTTATTCCCGAAATTAAAGTCAAAAAGTCGAGTATAATCTCGAAATTATGAATTCAATTCAAGTTCGAAATTTCAATTTTCAACTCGAAAGACTTTAATCCCCGAAATTAAAGTTTTGAACTCGTAATTTCGAGATTTAAGTAGAAATTTCTAGTTTCAATGTCGCAATTTCCATGAAAGATAATAAAAATGTGTGGCCCCTCTGTGCTTCTGTAGCATACTGATATTTACAAATATTTCAAATGGTCATAATTGTGTGGACAGTTCAAATTACTACAATTATTCTTCTTTATAAGCAAGGTAACTCAATCAACAAAATATCTTTTGACAAAGCAGAGTGACAAGTTTATTCCCAGGATTTCTCTGAAGTTGAAAAACGAATGTGTCAGCCAAAGAATGACATTGCTTTTTCCTTTCAAATATGACTGTTACATACTGTTGTCATGAAAGAAAATAAAGATTATTACGAAGACATTCTCTAAATTTCCATTTTCTCATTGAAGTATCTACATGGTTCAAGGATACCCAGTACTCTGCAGATATTTCTTTGATTATTTCTTCCACACCAAAAAATTTATGAAAAAAATGAAGGCTAGGCCACCAAAACAGCTTTTAATAGCAATAAAACGCAAAAAAGAGAAATGAAAATTTGTTACCACTTTTATTTGTAATTAACGTTGTTGCAGTTTCGTCCTATACGGACATTTTCAAACTTATATAACATTACCAACGTTACGTCAAGTAACGTCAACAATGAAGAATCTGTAAGAATTCTGTTAAAATCTGTTTTTCCGTTAATCAGCTGTCGCCCCCTACGAACGACAACTTTCAAAAGATGAAACTTGTGCGAGCTAAGAACGAACGAGGTCTTACCTTTTACCGTGTGATTCCTAACACAGATTGGATGATAGGAACTGAAAATACATAACGTAATGCTGCACCGAATGGAACGTATTTTTAATATTACTAATCCATCTGTTGGATTCCCATCATCAAAATATCAACAGAAATCAATTCTTGAGTTATATGAGGGAGATACTGTCTTCTTGTTACCAAATTGCCTGGCGATATATTGAGATATTATCCTACTCTATTTTAAAGTTCTNAGCTGTCTCTCCATCGAGTTTGTGCATCTATGCATATACTTTTTCATGTTGTCATCTGTTATATCGACAGGTACCCTTGTAATACCTTGTTCCTTTATTTCCAGTGACAGTTGATACATTGGTGATTTTTTGTTGGCAGCAGATGTTTTGAGTATTTTTTGTCTGTAAGTTGGATTTACTTTCACTAAATTATCGTACCATGACTTGAATTTTGTACTGCCAAAGATTAATAATTCCACCCAAAGTATGAACCAGGCTTTGATAAGAGCATATTCCAAGTGAAAATGAATATTCACTTTCAATTTTCATAGAACATCAATTTTGGAACAAAAGGACGCTGTATGATATTCTGACACCCCCAAAATTGATTTAGTTTAGCTCTAATTTGTTGTTGTACAATTTTATACTCTAATCAACTGTAATTAGTGAAGGATTAATAAATAGCTAGTTTCAGCATCGTAATGATCAGTAACTAATTTACTATTGGCCACTTACCTGAATAGCAACAATGCTGGCTTTGAGTCCGTCTTCTTTCCGTTTTTTCAGGTTGAGATCATCGTTCGCTGACTTGAAACTGTCCAAAACGCTCTTGAGAGCGTTCCTGTTCAATTTCTTCGAAACAGTGTCCCAATCATTAACTAAAATCGGCGAGAAATCATTCAAACCGTTCGTTACCTCAACAACCATCACTTACATATGTATTCCAGAAGAACCGCGCTGGCCACCACAGTTTTGCCGTAAACCTTCCCCCAGCTAGCTAGCGTCGTCTGATCCTTTTGGAAGATATCGATCAACAATTCGCACAGGCAGTTCCTGTACGGCTCACTACTGTTGGCGACTATCCTTTTGAGGACCACCTCGACGTAGTTGTTGTACTTTTCTTTAGTATTGCTGAAGAGGAAACGTTTCAGTTTCGGAACCTCGCCCGATAGTTTCTGAAGGAGATCCACGGGGAGGGTCTTTTTGGTCGAATAGATTGTATCGACGAGCAGGAGGAAGTCTTCTTTTGTCACGGTTACGTCTTTATTGTTGGTGACGAGGTCGAGGAGGTAGGTCAAGACGAAGCGGGAGTAGCTCTTCATTTCGATGAGTGGCAGGAAGAGATCTTTGAAAACTGGAAAGGATCAAGGGTCGTTATCACTCGCACTAGTAGACAATATTGATAGGGAGGGGCGATTAAAACGTTGGTCGGGAGAGCACGACGTATCTGTGAACTAGAGTCTTGTGACGGAATATACAGGCTGTCTGTTCAAAAAATAAGGCGAGTCGAAGTCACATTACACGTCGCTTTTCGGTGTAGAAATCGCGCGTCTCACGAAAAAAATAAATACACGTGATATCTTACTACATCCCCCTCGCCCTGGTGATATTTCGTGATTTTTGCTACCCCCGCCCTTTTCAAGCCTAACGTGATTAATGGACGGCCCCTAATAGTGATTCGACCATTCTCAATAACAATTTTCTTCACATTCTCAACGTTTTCATTGGTTTTTATGTGCTGGGGCGTCCAGAACGAGTGTCGCCATTTTGTGATTTTTGCTAACCCCCCCTTCTCAAGCCTCACGTGATTAATGGACGGCCCCTAATAGTGATTCAACCACTCTCTATAATAGTTTTCTTCATATTCTCAACATTTTCATTGGTTGTTATGTGCTGGGGCGTCCAGAACGAGTGTCGCCATTTCGTAATTTTTGGTTCCCCCCCCTTCTCAAGCCTCACGTGATTAAAGGACGGCCCCTAATAGTAATTCGACCATTCTCAATAACAATTTTCTTCACATTCTCAACGTTTTCATTGGTTGTTATGTGCTGGGGCGTCCAGAACGAGTGTCGCCATTCACATTTTCTCGGCTTTCTGTGATAAGTTTGTACCACTTGCAAACATTTTTCTGACGCAAAGTAAGTACAATCGCCGTATTCCACTGTAACATTTCAAGTGTTTCTGAGCACTCAATTCCATTTTTATCACAAAATTTGATGAAAATTCTTTTGTCCGTTATTTTTCGAAAGCAGAAAATCGCCGAACACGAAAAACACAAACTAAACATGTTAAACAGCTGAAATTGTGAACATATGTCCGAGACGAGTGTACCAACATAAAACAATCGATAATCGAATGTAGGAAGCCCGCGAAATTTGAACATTCACCTCATTTTTTGAACAGTCAACGTATTACCTGAGCATCTCTATACTTCCAGTCATTAGTATGTCTCACTAAATAGTTTAATAGTAATTTTTCAACTATCTATCTATCTATGATAATTTTTCAAATGATCTGAGTATACCTAGATATAATACCACTTTCTGTAAACGTGGAGTACACTATGCAGATATCAAAGCATACAGTTCTTTACCGATGGACACGGTGGAGTGGTGGTGATTATTATTATCTATAGTTTTTATTATTATAATACGAGGGTTGCCTTTTATATTTCGGGATTAGAGAACAAAAACAAATATTAATCACCAAAAATCACTTTATTGTTTTTCAAAATATTCCCCATGAAGATCTATACACTTTTGCATGCGTTTGAACCAATTGTGGAAGCACTTTTGCCACTCTGATTGAGGTATCTCCAAAACATGCATTCTGAATGCAGCAACAGCTTCTTCAGGTGTTGAAAAACGTTGACCCATCAGTTTGCTTTATACGTGCAGGAATAAAAAGAAGTCATTCGGTGCCAAGTCAGGACTATACGGCGGATGACTCATCAAATCGATGTAGTTGTTTGAGCCGATGTGTGAGAGCTCGCATTGTCGTGGAGAAGAGTGATCCGTCTTTGGCGGTTGGTTTTCCTGATTTCTTGGAAGACAACTGACAAACAAATGGTTGTGTACCACTCAGAATTGACTGATCACAACAGTGCTTCGGGAGCGAACAACTTTTGTTGGATTTGGCTCGTCTTGAAACACCCATACAGTCGACTCCCGTTTACTTTCGGGCTCATACGCGTAAATCCACGATTCATCACCTGTCACGATGTCATAGACGTGTTTCAAAGCACCGCGATCGTATTTTTTGAGCGTTTCCTTCGACCAATCGACACGAGCCTTTTTTTTAAGCTATTGACAAATTGTGTGGGATCTAACGCGAACAAATTTTTTTGACAGTAAAATGTTTATGCAATATTGAATGTATGCTGGTCCCACTGATGCCTAAGGTTGTTTCAATCTCACGACAGGTCACATGACGATCTTGCAATATCAGTTCGCGCACAGCATTAATGGTTTTCGGAACAACAACTGATTTTGAACGACCTTCACGAAATTCGTTTTGGAGTGAACTACAACCACGATTGAATTCACCATACTATTGATAAACACTGGTCGTTGATGGAGCTTCATCGCCAAAAATTGAATTAAGTTTATCCATGCACTGTTGCGGAGTTAATCCACATTGAAAGTTGTAAAAAATAATCGCACGAAAATGTTCACGATTTAATTCCATTTCTGGGCCGAGATGAATTTTTTAAGTTACTGTAAACAACACAAATAGCGCGCGTATGTCAGAACGTTCTGCGTACGTATAACCTCAAAAAATGTCCAACTTTACAATAGAGCTGTCAGTTGCCAGATTGCAACACTAGGGTTGCTAAATCCCGTTTGAGATTTATATATACAGAATTCTTCAAAATAAGTTGGAAGCAAGTTGCGTTAGTTTGAAAATGAATATCATTGCTAACTCACACAGTCTCTGGAAAATAGCCACTGCAATGTACTCAACATATTTGATATACTGGTATACCTATTCCCTTGTAAAATAATTATCATTCCACGATTCTGTAACTTTTGTAAAGCCGATACCTCATTTTGGTTAGATAAGTATAAAAACTAGCACAATAATCAAAATGGGGTTGGATTATAACAATTATATAATGTAATTTTTGAGTACACTGAAAGCCGAGATGAAAATCAAAATGAGCATGAAGAGATGTAAAGTAAATTTATTATTGAGGTACTTCTCACGGACAAATTACGATGAGCTGTTTTCTCGGGTTTGGTTTCGTGTTCTGTGTTTTTTATCTTCATAAGGATTATTTTTTTGGTTTACTTATTTATATTTCTACATTTATATTTACATGCATAAACATATAACTGACCATGTAATCAGAATGTTCACAACTTTTCGGCAAAATCTCATTTACCATCTTCTGATGATGTCTGGAGTTTTACAACTAAAGTCTAATTGTACTAGTCCAGTTGTAGAGTCTAGTACTAGTACAATTAGAGTCTAGTACGAGTACAGCTAGAGTCTAGCACTAGTACAACTAGAGTCTAGTACTAGCACAACTAGAGTCTAGTACAACTAGAGTCTAGTACAACTAGAGTCTAGTACAACTAGAGTCCAGTACAACTAGAGTCTAGTACAACTAGAGTCTAGTACTAGTACAACTAGAGTCTAGTACTAGTACAACTAGAGTCTAGTACTAGTACACCTAACCTAGAGTCTAGTACTAGTACACCTAGAGTCTAGTACTAGTACAACTAGAGTCTAGTACTAGTACAACAAGAGTCTAGTACTAGTACAGCTAGAGTCTAGTTCAATGTTCAATGAAAGCACACCACAACGCCTACTTTTTACTTCAGATTCGTGATCAACAGGAAAAAATATGCAGGTGTAATAAAATTTTTTTCAAAAACTAGCGCGAACCGGAAAAACAAACATTCACCAAAATTAGCTCACCTGATAATCCGCTGTTGAAATCACTGTATCCGACGTGCCCCACACACCAAAGAATAGACAAACCAATATTCAGTCTGTTCTGGTAGGACACCCTCAAAACAACGTGTTTACTCAAATTCTCAGTAACCAATTTTGGTTCGCTCAATGCGATTTGCTGCAAAAACAGCTTATATCCTAGAGCGGGCAGCCCTTTGGCCATATCGGTGGCCATAGAAGACAGACATATATCAAAAAAGAGTTGCGTATTGCTTCTACCGGCTTCTTTCAATGCTTTTTCAATGACGGCTTTTATCTCGGAAGGCACCTAAAAAAATCAAATTGAAAAAGCTGAAATATTTTCAACACACGGGCGATCGTCAAAATAGCTTCAATTCATCAACATGTGATTCATTACGACTATTTTGACAGTCTTCCACATATACCACCTACAATACTGAGTGGATAACCCTGTGGTTTCGAAAGAAATAAAACATCCTGAACGTCGAGCGATAATTTTTGATTCAAAAAATACACCAATTCTTTCAACCACACAATGGGGGCATCAGGAAACTGGTTTTTGGTCTTATCGAAGATGGACTGAAAGTATTCTGCATCAATCTGGAAAATAAATGATACTCAACATATCTGAACCAAAACACAATATGTTTCTGTGAAAGGGGGGTATTAAGGATGTAGGTATTTTCTAGTGTGTCCATGAAAATGTCTGCCAGAATGGGACTTAATGTTGAGCCCATAGGGAGACCTGAGTTTTGCAAGTAAAAATTATTATTATATCTGAAGAAATTTTGTTTGAGACATGTACCAAGGAGATTGCAAAATTCGGTAGTTATATATGGATTTGTATGACTCTTATCTAATATGTATTTCTTATGACGTTCACAACTGATGCCTCTATTGCAAAATGACGTTTCATATACAACAGTTGGAAATTCAAAGTTCAATAGTCTCCAAAAATGGGTCAAGTTTTGAATACCTGAAAAACTGTTTGTTTTAAAATTACCTTTTTCCAGGTATCCAAAAACTCATGTTTTGTGTTCATGGTCTTTCAAGAAGTACGGCACAGTTAGTGATGGTTTTTTGGTAATTTGTTGAAAAACTTTTTACCTATATTCAGTAGAGCATTGTAGGTCAACTTTAGGGTTTCTTTGGTACATACAAAAGGTTCTTTAACCGGATATAACAAACTTATGCTATTGTGAATATTAGTAAAGTAGATATAAGTTTGCCTTTTGCAAGAGATGTGTATTTGCTGAAGACATTTGTAGAAAGGCTGTTTCCTTCGAAACCCTTTACCTATCTTCAGTTTCAGTAATTTTTCATAGATATTTTACAATATAGTTGTAGTGATATCAAAAACAGTTATAAGATAACAGTATCTTATCAGCAATAACAAAGGGGCTGTTCCACCTACTAGAAGAATTGAGTCCCTGATTAAACCATATTGTCTGAAAGTTTCACTACCAAATAATTTCCTGAATCTGAAATACTCACAGAATTAAGGGCACTTTCAATAGACTTTGGGGGCTTAGGTTTGTCCTGTGGTCTTTCTTTCCTTTTCTTCACTTCCTTAGATTTATTAACGGACTGATTCTTTTTATTATCGTTACTGTTTCCCAGTGCTCCTGGGGCTTGTGATTTCAGTGCTACAACTAGAGTCATAAGCAAAACTAACCCAATAGCTTTTTAGGTTACTTACCAACATCGTCTTGTTTCAAACCATTCACTGGATTCGCAGTTTTCCCTGCTTTAGGAACCGGTAATTTGCTACTTCTGTCTTTCTTCTTACTAACAACTTCCCATTGGCCTGACATATTTTCGTTATCCCTAAAAAAATAACGCAAAGAATCAAGAAATCCAAACACAACTGCTAACAGCTGTATACGTCAAAGCAAGCATAAAAAACTAAAAGATGCGGGACGTGGAGGGTTGTGAAAGTAGTAGGTGGAAAGACGTGGATCGGTGTTGCAGGTGGGGACGTATTCATGTCACGGAACATGTATCGAATGAAGTTTATTTTATGTGCAATATTCATCAATTTATTATTTCATAACAGAAATCAATTCTTGAGTTATATGAGGGAGATACTGTCTTCTTGTTACCAAATTGCCTGGCGATATATTGAGATATTATCCTACTCTATTTTAAAGTTCTCATTCAGAATATTTGTGATATACATTTTCAAATGCATATTATTTTTATATAATGTGCATTACGTCGTTTATTCAGCAAGTGGTAAGAAATTCAATATGATCTTTCAACCCTCACATTGATTGAGTAATTTTTATTACTTTTCTGTGACGTGTATTGTCCGCATACTTATATTTTTATTTATGCATTTCATATGTTTATATATTTGAAGCTATGCATTAATTTCATAAGTGTGACTCTTTTGTCTAAAAGAATTATTTTCTTCATGACAATAAAGTATATTTCAATCTCTCTCTCTATCTAAAACGCCTGACAACATAGTTTCTTTTGAAAATCCTCAATAAATACGAGAGGTGTTGTTTTCTTTTCCTTCATTCCTTCACACATTCACTAACTCAAAAACAAAAACATCGTATATGGCTTTCATTTTCAAAAAAATTAAGCGTTTCAAAATAACAATAAAGTTTTCAGTGTAAAAATTCCTAAAAGTTCAGCACTCATTCCACTCATTTATTATCATTATTGATGTCCACATCTGACAAAATCTCTGAGAACATAAAAATAAACAGTAATATCAGATGTGACCTCCATTATGAAATGAGAAATATGACAATAACAAATGCAATGCTGCTTATAAAGTTCAAACATCCTTCATAGCAGTTGCTGCTCGAGCAGTAAAACTGCTCTACTTCTGCAGTGGTTACTGCCCATGAAAATACAGCTTAATTGATTGTTATATAGTGCTAAAAAGATGTCTCAAGTTGGTACTAGTGCAAACATTCTACCAACCTCTCCTGGTTCCTAAACGTCAAGTCATTCTGAAAATGTGCAAACTGCACGGAATCGCGGACTGCGGCACTGAGCACTGACCCGATCTTCCGCGCCTTATGTAGTGCGCAGTCAATGATTTATAATTTATATGTGTAGCAATCATGGCGAATCCTAGGAAGTTTAGTGAAAAAATTGCCCGTCATAATCAGCGACAGGCCGAAGAAACAGCTGCTTTCGAGGAAATCATGAAGGAAGTAATACAAGTCAGATCGAAGGTATGTGAGGCACGATTTAAAAATTCGTTAGGCGGATTTTTCGAAGTAAACAATGCATCATCTGCGGACCGTCCGTTCATGTAAAAACCACATCTTTCGCCTATAAACAATCTGAATTCACCGATTTATCGCCTTCGGACTATTTTTCTAGTTTTACGCGCCGTAAAGGAGCAGGATTGCAATTTTTGTGTTTTTTAACGACAATCGATAAACTAGAGCAAAAATATTTGACAGCAACAATAAAAATAGTGCATCTGTAGAGTGTAAGAATGTTGTATACGACTTTTTTTTGCTGGTGTAATAGTTCCAGATTGGGAAATCTCGTGTTTTCGTGGTGATAAGCGACAAACTGTTGATGTAAACAAATCGAAAGAGTTGATATACCTTTCCTGCTTGCTGCTTAGGGTTAGGAGTTGAAAGTCCAATAGCAACTTTGGTCTCTTTGATTATTTAATTTGTTACTTAACCTGGCTGTGATTATCAACAAATTGGCACAAACATGACTAGACTCTTCAGTGTCTCAATTGTAAAGGTTTGACCTGTGCTGTTAAATTTTCATGATCTTTGCCAACATATATCTTTTCTATAGTCAATAACATTCATTTGAACATTCATAAGAAAGGGTCAAAAGGTTTTTCTGACTAAAACAGCCATAGTAGACAAATGGTAATCTAGAAGAGAATCAGAGTTGAATACAATTTCATATAAAATTGTATAATCCAGTTGCTTTATAATCTGCATTATCAAAAATAATGTATAAACTGTTAATTAACACATTCCTTAATATTTTGGTAGCTTCAATGTCTCAAGCGACCAAAAATATGGTCTTGGAAAGCGAAAGCCAACAGGTGTTCTTCTCATATATAAGAAGTGGATAATCAAAAAACTTCTTGTCAGAACAGACATTAACATCAGCATGATAACTGTTAATGAGAGATACGTACGTAGTAAGAACATGTATAAATAGAAATGAAATTCGAAACATTCCCTATCTCCGACATAGTAGGATCTAGTATATGCCTATTGGAAATTGAAGTCTTTCCCCACAACGAACAGTGAATTAGATCAGACTGACAGTATGCAAGATNCAATGGCCAGAGTTTCAAACCACTCCATATATATGTTGGCTATGACTGGTGAAAGTGGCGATCCCATTGGCAGTCCCTCATCTTGTGTAAAGAATTCGTCCTTCAGTTGGAAATAACAGTTTCGTACACAGCATCCTAGTAATTCCATAATTACTTCTATTGGCCAATTAACAAGCCGCGAAACAATGGCCCAATTAAGAGCCGCCTTCGGTGAACAGTTTATCTCACGTTTGGGGCCCGTAATTGGCCGCCTAGATCGTGTGATTTAACGCCTTTGGATTATTTCTTGTGGGGTCATGTTAAGGCTCATGTCTACGGGGATAAACCAGCAACGACTGACACTCTGCAAGCCAATATTGAAGCATTTATACGTCAAATACCGGTCGATATGATAGAGAGAGTGTGCCAAAATTGGACCTTGCGCAGGGGCCATCTAAAGCGGAAATCATCTTCAAACAACAAATTATATTGATCGTTCTATCGATTCTAATAAATATTTCATCAATTTTTTCAAATTTTTTGTGTTGTTTTGAAAATCAAATCCTATACCTCTTAAAAAGTCACCCTATACAAGTAGATTATTTGAGTCAGCCTAAAAACTGAATGATCGGGCTTGGATAAAGTCGACGAAGAACGTTTTTGTATGGTTCTAATTGGCGAAGGTTCTTCAGGTGATAAAGTTATCGAAGTGTTCGAAAAGATGGTATGCGGGAGGTGTGGGTGAGGATCTGATTCAAAAAAGGATAGTTTTGGTTGCACAAAAGCAACGAGGAACAACCTCGAAATGTGACAATTTCTGTCGATCCTTCAAATCGTGGGGCACCCACTGTTCGAGCTATTTGACTTTTCCAATACGTTTGAAACCATCAAAAACCGCATGGGAGCTGGCGTCCAGTTCTTCCGTCATCCCACGCACCGTTTGTGATGGGTCAGTCTCCACCAGGGCCCCCATATTCTCGAGCTGAATTAGGCAAGGCGCATATTGGAAGCATCTGGGGTGACACAACAGCGCAATGTTTTGTAACCCATAAAAACCAATAGAACAGCGCAATTTAGCTCTCGGACACGAGGTGGCGCGACTAGCGTGACTCGTGTGGCACAGTAGTTGAGCCACAGTTTTTTCGTGCTAATCCTTTCGTGTGTCGCGTTGTTTTTTTGTTCGATGTTCTTTAAAAGCGTGTTTTTTAGTTTTTCAAACTATATTTATTCTAAAAAGGACCTACTTTTTCAACTTTTTAATACAAAAAATTTTATATGTGCCTGCCTGCAGTACGTAAGTCGGTGATTAATGTGTTATTCATATAATTCTTTTTTTGTCGTCCAAGTCATTTCCTTTCTACGTCGGTCTGTACTCAGAAAGGAATTCTTATCGGAAAAAACAATGCGGCCGATCGTATTTATACAGTGTTTATGTCCGGTTATGAGACGCGTCGAAGTTAGTGACATTTAAACTCGTCAAGGATACAACAACAATTACGTTATCAAAATTGAACTGTGTATTATAAAATACTTATTTTGCGCAATCTTGTTATTTCAGATGGTTGATGATCCAGAATTTCGCGCAAAAGGATTTTGGGTAAATTTTCGTTTTGTGGACACCCGGCGATTTTGACAAAATTTTTGACTGTACTTACGTATTTTGATGCGTAGATTACGAATCCGAAAGAAAAAAGTGGCGCTCTCCCTTATTTAAAAAGTTACGGCCCTTCAAAGTTCAGAAAAGGGCAACTTTTCTTTTCAGCCTTCTTTTTCACCAAATAAACTATTTAAAAACACAAGCATTTATTCATTAGGTCACCTTTACACCTTATTCCTCCTTCTTTGACACTTTTCTCTTCAATGATCAACATTTTTCTTATAAAAAACTTAATTTAAAAACGAATGCTTCTCCTGGTGACACTCTTATATTTGTAGGTTAGATACTAGTGACATTTCAGAAAAAAGCGGTTGGTATTTGTCGTCACCTACTATTTTAAATTCGTAGATTCGAATTTTTAGTTTGACGTGAGAGAAAAACAAAATGAATTTGAACGAAATTCATAATTTAGTGAAAGTAAGAAATAATTTAATTCTATATTTGGTTCAGGTTGGAGTGTTTGCAGCAACAATACGTTGTACTAATTGCAATGAAGAGTGCAAATTAAATTATGACACTTTATGGTATAGATGCAATGGAAAGCGGATTATGAAAATACTGAAGAAAAAAGCTCAGTACATTTGTTGTAATTTTAAGAAAAGTGTCAAAAACCAATTTACGAGCTAAAGAATGAAGGCAAAAAACATTTGAATTACTTTAGGAATATTGACTGCATCAGTCGTACCAACCATATGATTAACCTTAAAAACGTAAAATACAGTGATATGTAACCAAAAAGCAGCTCCGTACATTTTTTAACATTTTTATAAGAAAAATGTTGATTATTGAAGTGAAAAGTGTTAAAGAAGGAGGAATAAGGTGTAAGAGTGACCTAGTGAATAAATGCTTGTGTTTTTAAATAGTTGATTTGGTGAAAAAGAAGGCTGAAAAGTTGCCCTTTTGTGAACTTTGAAGGGCCGTAACTTTTTAAATAAGGGAGAACGCCGCTTTTTTCTTTCGGATCTTTCAAAATCGCCGGGTGTCCACAAAACGAAAATTTACCAAAATATGACTTAGTTAAGCTTTATTTAAGCTTTTTAGATCGATGTTCTTTAAAAGCGTGTTTTTTAGTCTTTTTAAACTATATTTATTTCATCTAAACTTCGGGGTCAATCAGCCGTATATTGTTTAGAAAAATGACCATTGATGTTTTCCGATACCAGAAAGGAAGCCTGAAAATCAGCTATTAAGTCCAAGGCAGCAGGCGCGCAAAGGAAGGTTACAAATAAGGCAGCAGAAGCGCGTGTTAATAAAAAAAATACTTTTATCAAATGAAGAAATGCATGTAAAGTGAGTTCGAATTATATCAAGGAGGTTACGAGCACCATCTGCCCGCGAATAGACCAAGCAATAGTGTCGATAATTTTGTCAAATACAGATCCCGATCTTTAGGGTTACAAGCAAACAAACATACATACATACATACAGGTGATGCTAATAAAAGTGTGTTAATTAAAAAAGGAAACAGTGGACCTGATATAATCATGTAGAAACAATAAAAATGAAATAATTATTTCCTTATCTAGCGTGTTGATCACAAAAATATTCGATTCCAACGAGGAGCAACAAATTGTTGAGTAGCGCAATGTCTGAAATTATTGTTCAAAATTTCCAAACAGAGAAGGCTTTCTGTTTGGTTCTGCCAGTTGAGGGGACATAGGAACCTGAAATAAGCCTAAAATTCTCAGTACATTTTTATTAGGTTGTTTCAAAAATGTTATCCGTGTTTCTGAGTCTACTTCCAACTGTTATATTTCAGTTAATACTTATTCAATGTTTACCCATATTTTTCATATTACGAATACTCGGAGATACCTCTTTCTCACGCCAGTGGTTTGCAGGTGGTCCCCGATTCCGAAAAAAATACTCTTCATATCAACACGCAGGCGTTGGGAGCCTTCAGGGGTGGTTCCCTCCCCAACGTGTCTACCGGCCACCCCAGCGTCAAGTGTCCGCAACAAAATTGCGGATCCGCAAAGGTGACTCACCCCGTAGATGTTGTGCATTGTTGCTTGCCAAGCTTTTTTGTTTTCATTTAATCAAGAGCCTTGTTTGTGTGCTTAGTGGGCGGGTTTTTTTGCGATGGGTTTGAAGTTGGCCTCGTATGTTACTTACACTGAGAAAAAAATACTCGTAGAACCAGAGAAAGCGGGTTATTTTGTATTAAATTAAGAAAATGAGCGGATAATTATTTTTCATTTCTAATTTATTGGACTTTGGTTTCGATGCCATAACCATATACCCATGATTCAGCAATTCTTGAGTTATGCTCATGCGGCGGTTTTTTATACCCAAAATTTAAAAAAAAAGCATGGCATGATATGCCGACATCCTCAGTAACTTCTCTTATAGTGATTCGACGATTCTCCACAACAATTTTCTTTGCTTTCTTAACGTTCTCAATTTCAGCTATTGGGTAATTCTAGTAAAAAAAGCTTCATGAGTAATAATAGCTAATATTATCGTGATTCTTGCAAGAACATTGTCCAGTATAATGAAAGTCGTGTCAGTGTACTCTTTAAGGCTAGTTCATGTTGAAACGAACATTGCATAAAAAGTGCGATTTAAAATGGCGTCGTGTTTATCATAAAAGGAAAAATTGAACTTTTTACTCTCTCATTATTCAATAAATTATTGAATTTGGTTGGCCCCACATTAAAGAAACCTCATTTTGCAAAAGAACCCCTCCCTCCTGCACTTAAGTTGGCAGTAACGTTAAGATAGGTGGTTTGAAGACACGCTGCTATTAAACAAAACTTGAGAAAATTGTTAGTCCAATTTTCTGATATATGGGGTCTGGTCTTGAAAGTCGTAATTCGTATGAGTCGTATGTCATCATTCAGGTTCATGTAATAAAATTTAAAATTCAACAATAAAATCCCTAGATATTTCCCGCTTCAACATGAACAGGGTATTTTGACAATTGAGGCAAATTTGCGGAACCGCAAAAATATTATCGCAATCGTTCTAATATGAACTCGCCTTTA